TTGTGCCTTCCTCAATGTGAAGGAAGGTATGCACAACCTCTTTTTCTTCCCTCCCTGAGTTAGATACTACATAAACGTGGTAATAAATAAAAAATAATTGTGTTAATGAGGGAAAAAAATTTATTTAAGTGGCCAAACACAACAAAGAAAATAATGTGTTTTCAGTCTAAATTAGATTCACTAAAGAAACTGGTTATAGGTAATAATTTCTCACCCTAGCCATTATTTCAGGTAGATCTAGGACCTGTTAATGACGCTAATGTGAATTACAGATGCACAGATCAATAGTCCTAACTACATCTACAAAAATGATACAAGACTATGAATGAGATAATCATAATTTTGCCAATGATATTTACATGCGTCTTCTTGCATGAAGCAGATTTCAATTATGGCATCATAAGCATATTTTTATAAAACACATGGAATGCCACATCACAGGAGAGAACTGGGAAAGGTTAGGGTTAGGGAGTTGGTCCCTTAATGTAACTTGTTTCATTTACAATACACATACCAATTCTTGAACAGAGGAAGTCACAAATAGTACACAGGCATGCCCCTCTTTCAGGCCTCTCAGTCACTCCACCATTGCCTGGTTCCCAGGGAACTCCTGTGCCTCAAGAATTGACAGTAATTAGTGACAGGCACCTTCTGGTTGTCTCCCAAAGTGTGTGTCATATTGTCAAAGACAGACTATTGCTCACAAAGGAAGTATAAACGTTCAGGGGGTAGCCATGTTAGTTAGTACTGCAGCCCCCTCTCCCCCTTAGAAATGAACAAAAAATGTAGATAGTGTCATGAGCATTCCTGGGCACTTCTTTAGGTTGCAAAGAGCAGAGGAAAAATCTGGGCAACAGTGTCATCTGGTGGCTCCCAGCATAGCTTTAAAACTAGCACATTCATTTTTTATCCTTTCATGCCTATAGCAACTAATTGTAATACTGGTCCACACTAACCTTATGGCTACACTGCAGAGAAAAGTTGGGAAAAAATGGCATATCTTTTTAAAGAGGCTTTTCTGAAATTTGGCCCAACTATACGGGGCCAAATTTTGGAAAAATATCCTCTTTCAGAACAGCACTTATTCCACACACAGAGAGGAATACAGGGATGCCACAAGAACACGTCCGAAACTATTCCAAAAAAGTGGTTGTGTTCCTTGGATGTGGCGGCGCGTTTTAGCTCTGCAGCCTAAGACCCCCATTAGGTCTTGCAAAGTGTGAAAAAAAAAACCCACATAATCTTTGCATTTATGCACACACACACACACATAGGAGAGCAATTCATTTACATCTAGGGAGCCATAGGATTCCCTTCTAGTGTGTGCAGGGACGGCCCAAGCCATTTTGGCACCCTGAGCACACGGTGCCGAACCGGGCACACGGCGCATGCGCAGCCTGTCCTGGCCCTGCCACCGCTGCTGGCGTGCATGTGTGCTGGGCCGTGCAGGGCCCCGCGGCCGTGGGGAGAAGGGAGCTGCTGGCCAGCGCCGTGGGGGGGAGGGGATCGGTGCTGAAGGAGCCGGGCGCATGGCACCTGATGGCAGCTATAAGGGATGCCGCGCGCCCTTTACAGCTGCCATCAGGCGACACCCACCCCCCTCCCCACCCCACTCCACCCCCAGCGGTTGGCATCCCGGGCAGCTGCATGGCTCACCCACCTCTCAGTCCAGCCCTGAGTGTGTGTCCTCCAGGAGATGCACTGAATCACTTTGTGAGCTGTGCTAGCAGGCTCCAGGGCCCTTAGTTTAACAAGCACTGAGCGAAGCTAAAGCCATGGCATCAATTGGAAGTTAGGCTGTTTAATGTGCTGTTCACTACCTCAAAGTGTTAAGAGTACAAAAGCAGCCAAAGCTTGGGTCCTTAAGCTTTGTTTTTCTTAATTTAAATCAATCATTGTTCTGGAGTGGGGAATGGGTGGAGGGGGTCAGTATGTAGGAGAGATGATAAGCCCAGCCCGCTCTCACTACAAGAGTTTGGAGCATGGTGAGAAGCACCTGTCCATGGGCACTGCAGCAGCCATAGCCAGGAAACATACAAACAGATGCTGAAATATGTAGCAGATAGCTGTCCCTTTCTCCATCTCTGGCCCGCTTTATAGTTTGCCCAGTCCGTATGCCGCTGCTTCCCACCATCCCCCGGTCATTCTACAATATAATTCCCTCATACCAGAACCCTCTCTTTCTATTTTGAGAGAAACACTTGAATCCCAGCCACAGCCCATTGTTGTGGCACAACCAAACCCATACCTTGTTTGCAAGCTGCATACTAAAGTTGGTGTTCCTAGCTCTTAGGAGTTTGTGAACAGGACAAACATGGATGGACAGACCAACACAAATTTCTGGTTTACCAGCCACCTCAGCGCCCCCCATCCAAAGGCTTATATACACCATTAAGTAGCAAAATTGATTATTCTGGCTCCCTAACCAGACCATAGCTCAGGTCCCTGGGAGTCGAGATTGGTGATCGCTCACTCTCAGACTCTCATTATGCTGCTGTGGTTTTTCTCCTAGTAGAACCCTGACAGATTTCATGAGGCATATTAGCACATGGGAGGATGAGTCAGCTAAGAGTAGCCATGTTTTGTGGTCAAAGACAAAGCTTCAAAATTTAGAACCAGGTCCCCACACAATTCCAATCCCTTAGAATAATTATAGTCAAAGTAGTCTCTGGCTTTGGCTACTTGGGTTCTATAAGCCCCAGTTCCTCCAAGGCTTACATGGAGGTTCTCCATCAGATTGGCATTGCAGCAGCTGCTACAGATTGTTCACAACTAATGAGCATCAGTTCAGCACAGCAACCAAGTTCAGGACCTATAAGAGCTGACTAGGACCTCCCACTACTGTTTGGCTGTGAAACCTGGACACTAAGCCACACCAAAGACCAATGTCATAGATTGGGCATAAAGTGGAATCACTTACATTTGCAATATAGATGTTTGTGGTTGCACTGGTCTACAGCCTACGAGGGCCACTGTCCACAGACAGTGTCTTACGCTTTTCACATACCTGCTGAGAATGCCACAAGACCTTCCACCCAATTCCACCAATCAAGGGAGGGGAGGAGGCCTAAATGAAGTTCTCCTATTACATGGGATCATCAAATCTGTTCCACTGTCACACCAAGCCCTTGCAACCATGAAGGAATAGACCAAATGGCAAGTGATCCCTTCAACTAAGCCTTGAAGTTTACTTCAGCTTTAGTGACATGAGAAGTACCATGAGATGGTCAGTACCAGTGAGATTAAATGTAGGTACACCCCAGTCATTAGGTGCTATCGAGTTCTACAGGTAAAGTGCCCTCTCATCTGTGGTAAAGTCCCAGTGGTATCAATTCATGTACAGTATAGCTCTTGTAGGTCAGTGAATGATTGCTGCACTAGAATACCATGGTGGAATCCAAATACAGTGGAAGCTTTGTTACCTAGTTATAGAGATGTAGCCGTGTTAGTCTGGGGTAGCTGAAGTTTCTTGCCATTTCAACCAGAAAGGACACTCTCTCAATGACTTAACCACCTGCATTCTGCTACAAAGACCTTTTACATCTGCACTTGAAAGGGAATCCTCTGAACTGTCATTCATGTTAAAATTCGACACTTTCCAAAAAGGACTCAACAAACATTTGAACTATCTCACCCATTACCAAGATAGCTTCCCCAATTATCACCTCTAATACCATTAACTCACAAACATCCCACTCTCCCTACCTCTAATATCATCAATTCACAGACACTTACCTTCCTTCCTCCCCCCCCCTGCATCCCCCTCCTGTTCTGCAATGTGATTTGTCCTTTTCATATTTGTTCATTTTTTTTAATTGTATCCTTTGGTATAAATGATTGTGACTACTTTCTTCCATTATTTGATCTGAGGAAGTGGGTCTGGCCCACGAAAGCTCATCATCTAATAAACCACTTTGTTACCTGGCACTCTGGGGGATGCTGGTTAATTGAATATGCCGGAGACTCAGGCTTATTGTTCTGTCTCCCCCCCACACCATGGTGACCAATTCCCGCCCCCTTGGGAACGCCTGGCCAGTCACGAAGGCAAAGGGGTAGGTACGAGGAAGCAGACCACTTCTGTCCAACATACATATTTTCTCACTCAGGGCATTTTCTTTGTGACCTTCTCCTAAGCAGGAGGCATACAAGCAGGTCAGCTGCCCAGGAGCCCTCTAGCAGACCTGGCTTCCAGCAGCTTGAGGTAGGCTGAGGGGGAAGGAGACGCCTGCTGATGACATTGGCATTGCTGGCTGTCAAAAGCTGCACAGTGGCCAAAGGCATCAAGCCATCCAGCTGGGAGTCAGATGCATGTGCCTGAAGACAGAGAGGTATTGTGGATGAGGGGCAATACCAGTTAATTGGAAAACTTGGTTAAAGTGCCAGATAAAGTTTTCACTGTAATGGGTTTCATGCACTAAGCTATGGTAAAAAACTAACAGGTTATGTACATCATGTGTGCACATGTACCGGTATAATGAAAACTAGGCTAATAATTACATATTTCAGAATAGTCAAAAAAACCTCAGAAACTTGACTTTGACAGCCACTTCTGGAAACAAAATACATTAAATCAACACCAAAAACACTGGAAAAAGATAACCAAAATACTCACACATCTATGGATAGTTTCGTAAATAAAGAGCTCATACAACAGCCATAAACAAATTGAAAGTGCATAGTCTCAGCTGCAGAACAAAAAAAAAATTACAATTAATTCTACTTTTTTTTTTGCATTAAAAGTTAAAGAAAAGTTATAGAAATAGTGTAGCATTAGAGGCTTTTTTCTTTTTCAATCAACTCAAAGACAGTTTGCACTTCAAATTTTATTTTAGATGTATCATGTGGACAACTATTTGGGTGCAATTTAAAAAAGTACAAATAAATAGAAGAAAAGTCGCAAACATTAATAGAAAAATGGTGCATCTGAAGTTAAATATACTAACTCACATCAACATGATAGACTGCAATGCCTCTGTAGCAATAATACACAGATTATTGAGTAATTTCATTTTTTTTAATACTTGTTTTTTTACAATTTACAAGAAAGTGGAGGTATAAACAGCATACATTAAAGCCAAAATTCTCAGAAAAATGCACTTTACTGCCTACTCTGTGTGTGCAAATGACTAATTACATTCAATTGGTAATTTGAGCACAAATTAAGGTTCTAATCCTGCAAACAGTTATACTTACACATGTGGGTAGTTTAGTCAATGTGTTGCACCTAAGCATTGGCAGGATGAGAGCCTAGGTATGTAATTAATCATCATATTTATGAAAATTTAAACAAGACATTTAAAAGGAGAGCTTCCACTGGGTTGTAAATTCACATTCTTGTGCCTACACAAGTACAAAATGCTAACATGCACCAGATTAAGATCCATCAGACAAGGTACGTGGCAAATTAAAAGGAGGCTAACCTGGTGAACTGCATCCTGCCTACGGTTCCACTTACTGCCCAGCCCTGTTCTAGCTCTACAGTTATGCCATAGTGAAGTGATAAAATAGGAGTCATAATAAACAGAAACGTCTCCCTTTGTATAAATACCTCAAATAAAGTATGTAGAGATACAAATATTTATACCTTACAACAGCAGCTTAACGGTCTATTTGAGAAGCAAACATTAAAATAATACTTTGTTAAAAATATGTCTCTGTTGAAGTGAGCAGAGTAGATCTACACCATGCTGCATTCACCAGTTAGTGATGCTACACACCACACCAACAATGTGTGTACATCTTGAAGCCTGGAGATCTTTAGTAACCAAAGTAAGTAGAAATTTATATGCAAAAAAATAAATAAATAAAAATTGTTAAATACCCAATATTTGGTACAAATGCTTCATATTCCGATAAATTAATTTTTACACATTTGTTTAGAAAAATACACTTGACATTTCTATTTTCAATTGGCTAAAAATAAGGACCAGATCACATATATCCTTGTGTTTTTAAAGGAAGGCAATATTAAAATTACCATCAAGCTGCTATGGTAACCCCCTAGGGACTCAATCCCTTAGTTCTTAAACAAGAAAAATTCTCATCTGAAGAGAAGTGAGTGCACAAGGACTGCAAGACTGAGTCCTAACTTTGTACAAATAACCAGCTGGCCCATGGCACAAGTTACATTCCCTCTTTTTCTCCCACCCCCAAATCTGAAACATTCTTCAAGATTTAAAATCTGCAGGCTTATCAAACTATCAGACCATCGTGCTTTTTTAAAAAGAACTACACTTTCAAAAGCAGATGCCTATCTGGTTAAGCCATCATTTGTTCCAAAATATATACACATTTAAACTGTGAAGTCATTAGGAAAATATTCTTGCAAACAAACTATATAAAGATAAAATACACTTTAAAGTTAGTTTTTACATTATTCTATAAAGTGCAGAAAAAATCCTCCTAAAAAGGAAATCACTACTCCCTATAACAATAATATAATTACAGCAGCTTTTGCATAGCATTACTTATAGAAAGTTGAATACTTCAGTTTCTTCAGGAAGAAGAGGATGGAAGAGTCTCTTCCAATTCAGATCTTTTCTTTGTAACTGATCTGTTTTCTTCAGGAATGGTTGATGGTGCCAAGTGTCCATTGAGAGCACTTCTGGAACAGTGAGCAGATCCTATTAAGATATTGATTGGTATTTAAACTGTGTCCCGATTCAATCCCTTAATCATTCTGCTTGCTAATGTTTCACACAGACAACATTTTTAAACTATGGGTTATAATTTACATGCTCTCTAGGGATTGTATTGAATTATTCTTGTCTATAGCAATACCTAATGGCTGAGTAATGTTAAAAGCTACTGATAACTTCAGATAAGCATACTCTGCAATACACAAATATTTTAAAAGAATCATCTCTGGGGTTCACATGGAAATTCAGTCAAGGATCACAAAAAAGTGTGAGATAAGAATTACAGCAGCAAGAATCCTATCAAAACTCCACTGGGACACTTCAAGGTATTAATAAAAGTGTTTGCTTTGCTAAAAGAATCCAGTCTACTGCAGATTGTACCAGAAAGGATGTATGTCTACCTGATCAACTAGATGGCTCATTAATGGTAGATTTAAACACATGGAAATCAGTTAGAGATCAGTTTCTGCATTTGAAAAGTGACACTTTTATACATCAGATACTCAACCAGCTGATGAGCACAGAGAGTGCTGTGCTCCATGTCAGTCACTCTACTTAACAAGATTATGCCAGGTGATTAATGCATATTAAGGTTACTGGAAGACAACATAGAGCCTCTGATAACATTTCTATTTCAAATGACACATCTGTTCTACTTTGGCATTTATCTAGTACCTGGCGAGTTGTCAGAGGCAATCTATCACAGAAAAGTGGGCTAACAGATCTTTATTTTATATAGAGATGTGCTGTTTGGAAAGAAAGTCAGGAGCACTCTTTGCTTGGCCTTCCCTGGCCCCATCCTGCTTGGTAGCTTACATCCTACCCATAGCATATATTCATAACGCACTGAATAGATAGGTGGTGTGATGCAGCTGAGAAACAAATGACCACACTGCTCTAAGGACTGGAGGAATCCTTTGTTGAACAGAATATTTAAGACCTGTTCTTACAGTGCAGAGGTGGGGCAAATACTGGCCCAAGGGCCAGACATGGTTTGCCAGGGTTAGCCCTGGAAGGCCCCTATTGCTATACTTACCTGCACCTTTGCAGGTACAGGCAATTATATCTCCATTGGCCACGGATCACCATTCCCTGCTAATGGGATCTGTAGGAAGAGATACAAATCGGGACACCGCTTCTCACAGCTCCCATTGGCTAAGAATGGCAATCCACAGCCAATGGGAGCTGCAATAGGCCATACCTGAGGCAGCTAAGGTAAATACAGCAACAGTGGCCCACCATAGGCTAACCCTAGCAAACCACCACCATTTTATTGCCCACCTGTGTTATAGTGCCCACTCTCTCCCACTTACTGACTTCAATAAAGTTAAACAGGAGTAAAGTCTCCATGTCAGGCATTTAAACAGCACCTCTTGATTACATCTGTGAAAAACCACTGAAGACAGTTTAACTGTCAAGTGTATTTACTGGTACAGTAACACAAAAATGTGGCTGGAGAGATGTCACTAAAGATAAAATGTTGACTAGCATTAATCATAACAATCAGAAAAATAGTGGCCATCTCTTGGAGTTTGCATTTGCAGGACTGACAATAAGAAAATACATTTTATCTTGTAAACTGAGCAAATCTGATACAGAATCAGTGAGAGGAAATAAACATGGAACTCCACAATGCCCTTTTCCAGTCATTTTCAAACAAGAAATGCTCTTGAAAGAGTATAAACAGTTTTTCGTTAATAAAATAGCAGGGATACAGAACCCCTATTGAAAGTTTGGTATTGTCAGTGCAACCTACTGGGAGAAAAAAAAGACGGAACTGAATCAACTTCAGGAAAAGGGAAAATAGCAGAAGGGCTCTCCTGTCTAGCATTGTAAAAGTCAAAAACCACAGTAACTCTTCACTTAACATTGCAATTATGTTCCTGAAAAATGCAACTTTAAGCAAAATAATGTTAAACAAATCCAATTTTCCCATAAGAATTAATGTAGATGGGGATGTTAGGTTCCAAGGAAGTTTTCTTTGCCAGGCAAAATTCATTATATTCATAAACTGTAGGTTTTAAACAATTTTAACAAGCAGTTTAATACAAAAATAAATGTTAAACTGTTTTAACCAAAAACATAAAACAGTAGTAAGACGAGGAAAATAACATTTGCTGTAAGGCTGTGCACCTCCCTGCTGTGTGTATGCAGGAGCAAAGAGAGGCTTCTCATTAGTGGGTGGATTGTGGGCATCCAGCTGCCCCAGGAAAAAACATGGCCCAGGACAGCTGTACAACATCTGAACTGTCACACATTTACTGCTGGACACTCCAGAGTGTGGGGCTCCAGGAGAAGTGGCATGGAGGAGGATGGAAGAGGTCAAGGTGCCCAGAATACACCTAGCTGAGACTTTTGGATGACCCCAGGCAGCTCCCCATTGGCAGGTGCAATGCCCTGATCCCTAGCCACGTCCCAGTCAGGGAAAAAGCTTTCCCAGCAATGTCCCCAGGGAACATTCCCAGTATTACTTGGCTGCCAGACCAGGGCCCCAAGATGAGGAAGCTCATCAGGGCTAGATTCAAAGCAACAACTTAGTGCAGATATTTCCCCAAAGCAACTGGGGCTGCAAACAGAAGCCTGCAGAGATCAATAACCCAGAGAGCTGCCCTGCTGCCAGGCACTTCATGCAGCTGGGCAAAGGAGCTGCTCTTTGCACTAACTTGCTTTGTGTGGTGACTGTCCCCGTGTTTTTATTCCCCTCGCTTTGTTGGAGGAAAGTGACACACTGCGTACAGAACTATATCCAGACACTGATGCCCGCTCCCCCACAGCTGCTTTGCAGGTGGCTGGTGGCCTGGCAAGTGTTTGGTGGAGTGCCCATTCCTGAGCAGGGAGAAAGCTGGGCCACAAAGCAACTGAGAGTTGCTGGAGGAGTAGGATGGGCATTGCGGTGTATTTACAAACAGTATAGTTGAAGAGGTGCCCCTGTCTTACTCCATATCAGCCCACCAAAGACAATGAGGCAGGCAAGGAGACTAGAAGTGCCTAAAGCAGTAGCAGCAACAGCTTCCCCTCACAAGGGCTGATTCTAATTGACTTTGCCTGGGAGTGATCAAATCCTGTCCCTGCTCCATCCCAGGCTTGCCGCTTCCTGCTCTTGCTCCACTACCTTCCCAGAGCATCTTGCGTCCTCCCTTCTCCCTCCCAGCCTTCCTGCACATGGCTGTGTACCAGCTGATTGCTGCAGCAGGAAGCAAGGGGAAGGTGGAAGAGGGAGGCACTGATCCATTGGCAGCCAGAAGGCACTGGGGATATAGGAGGGCTGACATGGAGGAAGCCAGACCCCCCTCGTTACATATTGTGTAATGCTCCCCTTATAAAGTCACTGCTCTTCTGGAGAATCCTGCATGCAGTGCACAGAGAAATGATGTTATAAAGGAACAATTCCATAACTTTAAACGAGCATGTTCTCTAATGGAGCATGGATGTACCTCTGAAGCAATGCTAAGCAGGAGAACGTTAATTGAGGAGTTACTGTACTTTAGTGAAAAAAGCTAGAAACTGAAGCAGTTCTACAAGCTAGAAACTGAAGCAGTTGTACAAAGAACAAGAACGTAACAAATTACTCAAAACAACATGGCTGATCTGACCACAGTCGTCATGAAAGAAGACAGACTGGGTCATCCATGGAAGAAGAACCAGACCATGGTCACCTCGTGTAGAATTCACCTTTGCTCAAAGAGACAGCACTAGGGGCAAGCACCAATTAGGTCTTAACTGGGATTTAAACAGGGGTAAAGTTACATTCCAAGAGAGGAAAGAGGCTGGTCCAAAACTGGATCATTCTTGAAAGGATCTATGCCAAACAAGAGCTAATCAACAAGAAAACAATCCACGGCCTTCCTATTAAAGTCACACTGTAGTAAAAACAAGTGGGAGTGTCACTTTACCTCAGCACACTCATGCCACAGGATCTAATTATGATGAGATAATTGACAGAGACTGTTGTTTTGCTTTATTGACTATGCTGAGTTGTTTCAGAAAAGCATTGCTCTGTGTATGAGGTCAGTAGGTATAAACTGTCCAATATTAATACATTGGGTTGTCACATTCTCCATTCAGTTCTCCTAGTGTAACTCCATGCAATGGAAATTAGCTCCATTCAATGGAACTGCCCTGGTGTATCTGACTCGCTATAATGGTCAGATTGGAAAGCACTGATCAACATTTTGCACAGACTTCCAAAATATTAGTTTACTAGAAAATTTAGCTGGCATTTCTCAGTCCTTTAACTCAATTAATATGTATTTTTTGGAAAATAAAATGAAAATATATATGCTTCATGTAAATCATTGTTCTGGGGTGAAGCTGGGGATAAGGGGTTGAATATGCAGGCAGCCCCAGAGAGGACTACCCCAGCCCACTTTCACCACAGCAACTTGATGAGAAGCATCTCTCCATGGCCGCTGCAGCTCCAGTGGTGCACAATTTGCTGCATTCCTTTGCCCCCTGCAGCCAGAGTGAGGAATGCAGCTAACTGTGCACTTTCTCCTCGCTTCCTAACAAAGGGGAACAGCCAGCAATGTTCCAATATCAATCAGGGGGTGGGAGGGGAAGAAGATTCAGCTCTCCCCCTGCCCTCCCTAATGCGCAGCAGAGGGGTGGGGAGACTTGGGGCTCACGGACAGGGGAGGAGGGGAAGGAACACTCCCAGCCAGTCCCTTTTGCCTTCTTCATGACTCTGTCCCTTTTCTGTATGATTTTATGAGAAGCAATCCCATTCCAGGCACATCCCGCTCTCCTGGCACATCCAAACCACTATCTTTAAACTGCACATTTTCATATGCTTGTTGTTCATGTAATCGAGAGGTGGGCTAAAAACAAAAAAACAAAACACAACAAAAAACCAGCACCCCACAAGGATTAGTCCCTGGCGGGATGCCACTACTATATTTACCTGTGCCTCTGCAGGTATTGGGCAATCACAGCTCTGCTGGCCATGGATTGCCATTCACAGCCAGTGGGAGCAGCGGGAAGTTACGCAGAACAGTTCACCATGTCCTGCAACTCTCATTGACTGCAAATGACAATCCGCAGCCGATAAGATTTGCAATGGTCCAGTACCTGTGGAAGCTAAATATAGTGATAGGAGCCCGCCAGGGACTAGCCCATGGCCTAGATTTGGCCTGAAGGGCCAGAATTTGCCTACCCCTGATGTAATCCCTATGTAGATCTTGTTCTACCAGATTTACTCCCCTCGGGGAGTATCTTACTATCATGTACAAATACAAATATTACATGTACAAATACTATCATGGATTTCAGTGGGACTACACAAGATCTAAGATCAGTCAAGGTGAACAATGGGCGGGTAAGTCAGCCCCATAGTGAACTAAAGCTGCAGTTTTAACTCATTACATAGAAATCCTAAAAGCAACTTTATTGTTTAATTCATTGGCTCTGATTACATACAAAGATTATAACTTTATGTATTCTTGCATTGGTGTCAGCAGTACAAGTGTGCAAAGTATGGCAATAAATGTTATACAACACGCACAGTAAAACTGCCTCTCTTCCAACTTACTCTCTGTGTCTTCAAGAGGAATAACATTATAGGATTCTGTATCGGAGTATGTTCTTCTGCGTTGCTGGGATAATCGATGGAGTGAAGAAATCGGTTCTTTTGTGGCATGAGTACTACAAATTAAATAGGATTTAATAGTTTAACAAATTTAAAACAAACATCTTGCCAGTCTATGAGCTTTTAATTTAAGATATACCTTTCTAGTATCTTTTTGATATATCTTATAGTTCTCTGATTAGACCTGTTTTAAAGATAGTACAGAGCAGTACTGAAGAATAAGCTAAAAGGAACTCCATGAGAACAGAACACTGTTAGCATGCAAAGATGTTAAAATCTGAAAAAAATGTGAATTTTAAAGCAAATCATCTGCATAGAAACTTCAGCTGATATTTCACTAGTGGGGGACTTCCTGGATTTGCCAGTGAGGTGTTTTCAGAAAGTGAATAAACCTACTTAACAGCAATTTGTATTCTTACCTCTCTGAACTGTACGTACCAGGATGGCTAATGGAGCGTTTCATCTACAAAATAAAGAAACAAGTTTTAAACTCTTTATTGAAACTTACAAAATGCTTATACACAGCCACATACTCTATTTATACTGCTCAGAGGGAGAAGATGATTTATTAAATTATTATTTAAAACAAAAATCAATCACAATTAACTAATCTTATTTATTTATTTGAAAGGGAAAGATTGCCAGTAAGAAACGAATTTTCCAAGCATCAATAAAAGAGAACCAGTTTACTATCCAAAAATATTACCTGGGATCTATACATTTCATTCTCGCTTGCCTCAAAATTACCCAAATTTCTACTGGGTAATTGGTCAAATCCACCCAAACCTCAAAACATTTTTAATTAACGCTAGCAATACAAAAGAATTAATCCAAGAGCAAAATTTCGCCCTTTTGTATGTAGACAAGGAGACCTCTGATTTCAGTGGGAACTCTCTAAGTGTGCCCAAGAGAATAATTTGACTCAAAGATTGATCAATACAAGTGGCTGTGTGAATGGGAAAAAGATTATCAGATACAAATAAGTAAAGGGAAAGACAGGAGAAAAGTAGCTCTCAAAAATCCATATATATGAAGTAAATTTGACAGGGCCTCATTTATCCCAACCCCTCAAAAGGAGCACAAGCAAAAATTAAGTGTGCAATAAAGTATATGAAGTATAACAAAAACAAACTTATCTGCTAAAAGCATATTTGAGAAACCAGGACATGGTTTTAAAAGGGACATATTAGCACTGGAAATCTCAAATCACTTTATCTGGCTGAACGTTAAGTCACAGAGAAAGCATCTGTTTTGATGAACAACCAGATTACAAAGGCCAATTCATATTTTTTAAATAACTCTGCAATATAGGTAACAGGATAATTACATTTTCATATGAACACTGCAAAGTACTGAGTGTTACACCAGTACTGGGGTAGGATTAGCAATGTCATCGTCCACAGGAGAATTACTCCTACGATGAATAGTTTATGAGAAGGCTGGAAAGCAAAAATGCTAGGGAATATTATCAGTAATGATTCACATTTAAACTTAAAAATGTCGACTTTCAGAAGAGTCAGGATGATACATACACATTATATTCTCCCAATCAGTAGCATAACACTTTAAAATATTACTGTTATAAAACACCCAGACCATTTGAACAGGTGAAGGTGACACAGGAGAAAATAAGGGATCAGGATGAGGCAGCTGAAACATCTCTGGTTTAAACTTGGCATTCGCTATCTTCACACATTCTTCAAGTGTTGTAATAAACGTGTTACATGTGGCACTGAGCAACGAGGAGGCTTCGTTCATGTTCTGAAAACAAACGACAGCAAAAATGTAAGCCGACACAGAGAATGTTACTTTAGAATCAGCTAATTTCCCAGTTAACTAGCTAAAATCCACAAAAAATACAAGTTTGGCAACTATACCTTTTACTCATACCTAGAATCAACTTTACTAAAAAATTAACACACACATATGATAGCAGAGGACTATTTTTGGAGGTCTGGGCAATACAGAAAAACACTACGTTTTTCCTGGTTCCTAATAACAAGAGCGTGAATAAGATTCCTTCGGCTGGAGTCATCAGTTTATTTTCTATTTAGTAAAGTAAGTGTTTTACAGTGTGACCCACCCATTAGATTTCCCAGTGAACCTTTCCGTAAGAGGGCACAATCCTACACTCATCAGTGAAGTGGCACACTTATTCCAGGGCTCAATTTGGTCATGAGGTAGGATTAGAAGAGCAAGCAGATGTCCTGTGGATGCTCAGATGCAAGGGGCACTTGCAGCAGTTTTCAAGACTTTGGATTCTAGTTTGCAAAAGTAAGAGAAGTTCTAGCAATAGCAAAGATCACTTACAGAGAAAGTAAAGAATAAAGAAACAGGATGTTTCAGTTATTATCTATTGTTGAGTTCTTAGACAAGGAGAATTCATGTGCAATCCAGCCCACTTTGCTTCTTTTAACTGAATGACTCAGCAATATATCTGTTTGTTAATATGTACTCTGATGACATTCTATATTGTATTTACACAAGATCTTTTACTGCTGGACTGTACTACCGTACCTCTGAATGTAGCATATGGGCATCAGAATATAGACTATTTTAAAATATTAAACTGACCTTACATCAATATCTTCCAACATTAAGTTGCTGATAAGGTGTATAAAGTGATAATAAGAACTTAAGATGATTTAACTAATCAGATTCTTCAGTATAATTTTAGAAATCTGATACCTCAATGCTGGGAGATGAGCGAGTCTCATCACGGTGAACAAATTCTTGTATTGTATGAACTTGCTGCATTAAAAGATCACAGTAGAGTCGAAGTTCGGACATTTTGGTTTTAAGAGATTCATTGGTTTCACTTATTTCTACAAGAAAAATAAGAAATAAAAAAATAATAATAACCTCTCCCACTAATCAGGGCATAAAACTTAATCTGCACAATTTTTACAAACAATTTTTTTTCCATCTACGAGATACACAGATTGAAATTCCTTTCAAAACTAAAAAGGAATTTTTAAATGACACAGGAATAGTTTCACAAAGAACAAGTAAATTAGGACGGGAGCATGGAGAAAAGTATATAACCAGCAAAGAAAAGAAACAACTATTTCTTATTTACCGTGCCATCTCAGGAAACACACAATGGACAAAATCTGTGACCTAAAGAGGTCTGTTTGTCTAAATTCACAAGCATCTGAGCAGAGCAGTTGCTCACTCATGGAAACTTGCTAGTGATTAACTTGTCAGATTGGCTACAAAGAATTAGAGATCTTTACCCTCGTTCCACCAAGAAAAGCTAGGGAAGCAAAAATGGGGATTATGAAGAAAAATCAGAACAATGGGAACCAAATGATTCTCAAACAGCTACTGACAGCTTTTTGAAGGTGGCAACACCATAAAGCAGCATGTGATTGATTTCTATATTGTTTACAAGAATACTGTCCATGCACAGATGGTTCACCATTGTCCTGGACATGTCTGAGACTTGAAATGCCATTACTACAATTTATGTAAGCAGATACTATTGCCCAGGATTATGGTTTGACTTTTCAAAGGGGCCTAAGGAAAGAAGCCCAGTGACTTCAGTTCAGAATCCTAGCCAACATGTCAGCAGGACTCTTGACATAGATAATTGGTGATAAAGGGGCAGATCCTCACCTGGCGCAAAAAACTAACAATTTCTTTGAAATAAATGGAGTTAACACTGAGTTACACCAACTGTGGATCTGACCCTTCATTTTTAATAGCAACATTTCTATGATTCTGGTAGAAACAATATCTGAAACAAGACAAATCTGAGCACAACATAGAAACCCAAAATAAAAAAAAAAAAAGTATGACAACCAGCAGTGGCATAAAACACAGGAGGAGCAGTGAAGTCAAAAGCAAATTGCACATAAGCAATATAAGAAGTAATTTGACCTACTTGCTACCATATATTTACAATATTTTAACTTTTTTTTCCTTGTTCAGTTATGACTTTGCTTAACCACTCAGACATCCCCCAGTTAGAAGTTGCCACAGTACTGCAGAGATGCTCTCTGCACTACTTAGACTGGTAAAATTAATAATTCTGAGAAGCAATGCCAGCTGTGGGTTTTTTAAGCTTATCTACTTCACTATGCTTAATGATGCCCTTCAATCAAAGTATTATATTTTATTAAAATGAGCTCATATTTATACATAACACATATACATGCACATGTAAAGGGAATTGGACTACCCTGGAAAATACAGTAATTATAATTCTTCCTCTCTGCTAACTTTAGCAAAGGCTGATCTGTTCATTTCCTGTTCCCTTTGGAAATTCCAATTTAAAAATAAACCAAAAGTTATTATATGTATACAACAGCGGTTACATCCATAATTAAGACTTATACCTTACATAAATAAAATTAAGTTCAACCACTAGAATGGGACAAATTAAGAGCCACCTTCTTAAAAACCAATTTTATTAGATTTCATACACTCTAAGGGTATAAATACCTTTTTCTTTTTTTGTTCTGGTGTCTGTCAAACAGGCTTTAGAACTACCCAGCGCTACTAGCCATCTCTGCCTCTCAGCCGCATTGACTGCTTTCATATAGAAGTGCTGTTCCCCTGGGATTATCAACTCCATTCTTGTGTTATCTGTTGAATGAACTTAGGATAAAGGAGGAAAAAAAGACTAATTTTGCAAACAATAATTAAACCAGTAAGAGTACTACTTATCAAACACAGATCATATTATCTCAAGCTATTTAAGATTGCATCTTAAGAAATGGAAACTACGGCACACAGTTCTTAACATTGTATGAATTTGATATTCACAAACATAACTGACTATTGCCCAACCCAGCGCTAGCTATTGCTTAGTTTTTGATGGGGAGGGGCTACTTTTCTGTGGAGGAGATGCGGGGTCTAGGATGGCGGTTGGGTGCAGAAGAGGGCACCGGGTAAGAGACTGGGGAGGAGACAACACTGTGAGTTCTGAGAGGATGTCGGGAGAAGGAGGGGGTTGTGAGCTGAGTCAGGGGATGGGGGGGTTAGAATTAGGGAGGGAATGTAGATGCAGGAAAGGATTCTGGTCTGGGGGAGGGGATCTAGGAGGAGGTGCAAACTCTGGGAGGGAACTGTGACAAGGGGAAAAGGGGGTGCAGACTGCAAAGGCTTTGGGTGGTGACCTGGGGCAGGGGAATGGGGTACAAGGTTTTAGAGGGTGTTTGGGTGCAAGAGAGGATTCTAGCCTGGGGGAGGGATTTAATAAGGGGTACAGAGTCTGGGAGGGAGTTGTGACAAGGGGTAAGGGGATGCAGAGGCTTTGGATGGTAACCTGGAGGAGGGAGTTGGGGTGCAGGAGGGGCTGGGGTGCCAGAGGCAGACTGTGGCTGGGAGGCTCTTACCTAAGTGTCTCCTAGTCAGCAATCTTGCAGCACCCCCAAGGCAGCCCCGGCTCCCTGCTTGCTGCAGCCCCAGACCACTTGAAACTGCAGACTATTTCCTCCATGTGGCTCTCAGCTCTGGGAAGGGGAAGAGGCTTGCCCTGCCCCCATCCCTCAGGACAATCTCTCAGCTCCTATTGGCTGAAAACAACTAGCCAATAGGAAATGAGAGCTTGGATGGGGCCAGTTCCTAGTGGCCGGTTGTTTCCAGCCAATAGGAGCTGAGGATTGGACTGGGGACAGGGAGATCACATGAAACCTCTCCCTCCCTGCAAAGCAGACACACACACAGACTGCGCCAGTAAACAGCGGCAGCTGTGTGCTTGAGGGTCCCAGCACGGTGGTCCACGGGCCAGATCCGGTGGCTTGGCAGGCTGGATCTGGCCCCTGGGTTGTAGTTTGCCCAGCCCTGAGCTACAGCCAGGCACAGCATGAACAGATACTGTACAAAATTCCCTCAAAACAGTGCCAAAACATTCCTCACCTGAAAGACCACTGCTAGTCTAGTCCTGATTCCATCATGCTAACCTGAAGATTTTTGTAACATTGGGCAAACATCCAAGGAGGACTAAACTAAAACCAATCTCTTCTGGGCTCTGTGTCAAAGTCACCATCCTTCCAAGCATGAGAACTATATATCATATTCAGTACTAGATCCTTAATGTCAGAGGTCTCAGAGTGACAGGCATAAAATCTCTACCGCAGTACTCCCCGGTCTAGCACTAGGCAGCCCTGCATACATAACAGATGGAATTAATCCCAAATTACTGGTATCTATATACAGGCAGTCCCCGGGTTACATACAAGATAGGGACTGTAGGTATGTTCTTAAGTTGAATTTGTATGTAAGTCGGAACTGGTACATATTGTAGGGGAAACTCTAGCCAAACATTTCTCCAGAGCTCAGTTTTATTCTCCCACACCTCACTTCCCTCAGGCTTTATTCTCAAGCTGAGGTGTCTGCGTCTCCCTGGTCTGCTCGGGGGGGCGCTAGCTTCGCATCTCCCTGGTCTGCTGGGGGGAAGCAGCTAGTGTGGGGTTGCCTCACCGCGTTTGTAAGCAGGGATCCGATGTAAGTTGGATCCATGTAACCCGGGGACTGCCTGTAATATGCCGAGTATGATACTATATCAAATGAACAAGCAAACAAGAAAAGGGTATTGAATGTTTCAAGAGATATTAGTAATGAGATATAAACCTTTCACTTCTAGGTCACTGATTTCAATCTAAGTACTAGTATTTGTAACCAAAAGTTGTTGCCATTCAATAACTGCTTGCTGGTCTACATAAGAGAAGTACATGGACTTGGTCCATTTTTTAGTGGTCAGGTATCCACATCCCAGATACCTCAAACAAAGTGCATCAGAAAAAAGACCAAAGGCAGAAAATAATGAAAGAAACTAATCATCTCATCCTAAACGTGGCACCCACCAGATCACTGCTGTGTCTCTCCCACCAAACAATTCCTAATATTCACCATTCCCTCCAAGATTAGAAAGGAAAAGAGCTGCAGCTGTGGTAACAGCTTCCAGATGAATTCATTTATATTTCAAATATAAGACATAAACAGAAAAGTTTTTTTAAAAAACTCAAGGGGTTACATGGCTGTTTTTTAACCTCATACTGGAGCAGAAAATATAACCTTTTTATTATTATTATGCTTCAGGAGTCATGTTCAGTAACTAACTGCAGTTGATGTAGCATGTCTGGAGATGTAATTTCCCTCCCCCCCCCACCTTTTTTTAAGCATAAAAGAAATTAGTGATACAAAAGTGGTACTGTATTAGGTCACCTTGTTCATCCCCCTTGCCGATTAAAATTCCCTCTAATAAAAACCTATTTAAATCTTACCTTTAATTTCACACACTGCCATCTTTATACTTCCTTTACTGCCTTTGCAAACATCATCCTGTGAATCATAGTAGGACAATATCCCATTGTCTAAAACAAACCAGCGAGGTTGCCAACCTAGGAAGACCATAAATATGAGAGAAAATTGTTATGAGACATTGTTTAATGGCAAAATCCAAGTCGATGCAAGGACGGGCAGGGACAGAAGACGCCTCGGCACTGCCCACTGGGGCAGCACAACTGGATTCTCTGGCTACGTCTAGACTGGCATGATTTTCCGCAAATGTTTTTAACAGAAAGGTTTTTCCGTTGAAAGCATTTGCGGAAAAGAGCGTCTAGATTGGCACGGACGCTTTTCCGCAAAAGCACTTTTTGCAGAAAAGCGTCCGTGCCAATCTAAACGTGGTTTTGTGCAAGAAAGCCCTGATTGCCATTTTCGCGATCGGGGCTTTTTTGCGCAAAACAATACCGCGTTGTCTACACTGGTGCTCTTGTGCAAAAGCATTTGCGCAAGGGGGCTTTTGCCTGAACGGGAACGGGAGCAGCATAGCATTACCGCAAGAACACTGACAATCTTAGGTGAGATCATCAGTGTTCTTGTGGAAATTCAAGCGGCCAGTGTAGGCAGCTAGCAAGTTTTTCCCCAAAAGCAGCTGCTAGTCTAGGCAGCCTCTGAGTCTAGGAACAACAGGACAGCCGCCATCAGACGCTAAAACTCCCCAGCAGGCTAAAATACCACCAGACGCTAAACCTCCCCAGCAGGCTAAAATGCGGCAACTGCCTCCCCCCGCCACGCCAGCTGGTTTCCTAATCTCAGCAGACATCAATCCGCACCCTCATTCCCCTTTCCCCCAGCAGCTGCATCCTGCCCGCCTCGCCCACTGACACCCCGCAGAGGGATGCTACGCGTCAGAAGCAGCCTGCCCTGCCCATACCTGTCAGGTAATTGGTCCACTTGTACAGGACTCCTTCCATAGCTCAGGGCCAGGCTCCGTGCTGCATCCTCCTCCTCCTGGGAACGGGCGGCAGCAGTGGCAGAGACCTACCTCTCCTT